CCCATGAACCGCAGCACGCCAGGCCTCCCTATCCATCACCAACTCTGGAGTTCACCCAAACGCATGTCCATTGAGTTGGTGATGCCATCCGACCATCTCATCCTCTGTCATCCCCTCCTCCTCCTTCCCTCAATCTTTCCCAGCATCAGGGTCTTTTCAAATGAGTCAGCTCTTTGCATCAGGTGGCCAAAGCATTGGAGTTTCAGCTTCAACATCAGTCCTAACAATGAACACCCAGGACTGATCTTCTTTAGGATGGACTGGTTGGATCTCCTTGCAGTCCAAGGGACTCTCAAGAACCTTCTCCAACACCACAGTTCAAAGCATCAATTCTTCGGCGCTCAGCTTTTTTATGTGAGAGTCCAACTCTCACATCCATACATGACCACTGGAAAAACCATAGCCTTGTCTAGATGGACCTTTGTTGACAAAGTAATGTCTCTGCTTTTCAATATGCTGTCTAGGTTGGTCATAACTTTCCTTCCAAGGAGTAAGCGTCTTTTAATTTCATAGCTGCAGTCACCATCTGCAGTGATTTTGGAGCCCCCAAAATAAAATCTGACACTGTTTCCACTGTTTCCCCATCTATTTGCCATGAAGTGATGGGACCAGATGCCATGATCTTAGTTTCCTGAATGTGGAGCTTTAAGCCAACTTTTTCACTCTCCTCTTTCACTTTCATCAAGAGGCTTTTTAGTTCTTCACTTTCTGCCATAAGAGTGGTGTCATCATAGTGAATAAAGCAGAAGTAGATGTTTTTATGGAATTCCCTTGCCTTTTCTATGATCCAACAGATGTTGGCAATTTGATCTCTGGTTCCTCTGCCTTGTCTAAACCCAGCTTGTACATCTGGATGTTCTCAGTTCATATATTGTTGAAGACTAGCTTGAAGGATTTTCAGCATTACCTTGCTAGCATGTGAAATGAGTGAAGCTGTGGGGTAGTTTGAACATTCTTTGGGATTGGAATGAAAACTGACCTTTCCCAGTCCTGTGACCAATGCTGAGTTTTCCAAATTTGCTTGCATATTGAGTGCAACAGAAGCTAGATGGAGTCTGGATCTCAGCCTTCCATAGTCTCATCTTTGGGCCATACCCTGCTTCCCAGCACAGTTCTTTGTCTCCCTGATGTGATATTTTTCAGTTAATTTTTATTGGAGTATAGTTGATCTACAGTGTTGTTAGCTTCTGCCATATAGCACAGTAAATCAGTTATACATATGCATATATCCACTCTTTTTAAAATTCCTTTCTCTTGGAGGTCACTGTAGAGTTTTGAGGAGAGTTCCGTGTGCTGCACGGCAGGTTCTTATTAGTTATATATAGTAGTGTGAATGTGTCCATCTCAGGCTCCCAGTTTATCCCTCTCCCCTCATTTCCCCTTTGGTGACCAGACGCTTGTTTTCTACAGCTGTGACTCTCTTTCTGTTTTGTAAATAGGTTCGTTTTTTATCATTTTGTAAAGATTCCACATATAAGCAATATCATATGATGTTTGTTTTTCTCTGCCTTACTTCACTCAGTGTGGCAACCTCTAGGTCCACGCATGTTGCTGTAAATGACACTCTTGCATTCTTTTTATGGCTTAGTATTCCGCTGTATGTATGTGCCACATCGTCTTCATTCCTGTTGATGGACATCCAGGTTCCTTCCATGTCTTGGCTGCTGTAAATACTGCTGCAGTGAACACTGGGGTGCAGGTGTCTTTCTAATCATGGTTTCCTCTGGGTACATGCCCAGGAGCGGGATTGCTGCGTCATATGGTGGTTCTGTTTTTGGTTTTTAAAGGAATCCCTGTACCGCTCTCCATAGTGGCTGCACCAGTTTACATTCCCACCAACATTTATAGGAGGGTTTCCTTTTCTCCATACCCTCTCCAGCATTTATTGTTTGTAGACTTTTTGATGGCCATTTTGACCAGTGTGGCGTGAAAACTCTCTTGCATGTCTCTAATAATGAGCAATGTTGAGCAATTTTCATGTGCTTTTTGGTCATCTCTCTGTCTTCTCTGGGGAAATGTCCGTTTAGGTCTTCTGCCCAGGCTTTGAGTTGTTTGTGTTTTTGATGTTGAGCTGTGTGAGCTGCTTGTATATTTTGAAGATTAATTCTTTGAATCCTTTGTGGGCTTTTCTAGTGGTGGCATGTGGGCTTGGTAGTTGCAGCGCGTAGGCTTAGCTGCTCCACAGCGTGTGGGATCCCAATTTCCCGACCAGCACTCGAACCCTTGTCCCCTGCCCTGGAAGGTGGATCCCTAACCCCTGGCCCACCAGGGAAGGTACCTGTGGTGTAGTTTCAGGTCAGGGAGCCTGATTCCTCCAGCTCCACTTTTCTTCCTCAGGATTGCTTTGCTATTCAAGGTCATTTGTGTTTCCATACAAATTACAAAAAATTTTTGTTCTATTCTATGAAAAATGCCATTGGTAATTGAGAGGGATTGCATTGATGCAGTGGTGAGTCGGCTAGTTTCCTTATTTATTTGGATCTTTCGTTGTGAATGTGTAGAAATGCAACAGATTCCTGTGTATTGTATGCTGCAACTTTGCGGGTAGAGGTGATGTGCCACCGTGTGACTTGTGGGATCTTAGTTCCTCAACCGGGGATTGAACCTGGGCCCTCTGCAGTGAAAGCACCAAGTCCTTACCACTGGACCGTCAGAGAATTTCCATGTATCTTGCATCTTTAGCAAATTCATTGATGAGCTCTAGTCATTTTCTGGTAGCATCTTGAGGATTTTCTATGTATAGTATCATGTCATCCATAAACAGTGACAGTTTTACTTCTTTTCCAATTTGGATTCCTCTAATTTTTCTCTTCTCAGATTGCTGTGGCTAGGACTTCCAAAACTATGTTGAATAAAAGTGGTGAGAGTGGATAGCTTTGTCTTGTTCCTGATCTTAGAGGAAATGCTTTTAGCTTTTCACTATTGAGGATGACGTTAGCTGTGGGTTTGAATAGGTTTTAATAACAATGCAAATAGGGAGCACTGCACTTCTACCCCAACCAAGGCACCATCTAAACTTTTCTTGTGCTGTGCTTTACTCTGCACAACAGCCTGAGTGCTGCAATATGTTTACTTTACTGGGGTTCCCACAGACTTAGGGATCAAGTTCCAAGTCCTCATTACAAAAAATGCTTTCATGACCTTGCACCAGCCTCCCCAGACAGCCTTTTCCCTCGCTTCGCAGCCTCCCCTGAAATGCCAGCCCCTGCCCTCCATTCCCATGTCTTTGCCTGGCTCCCCTTTGCTCTAGAAAGCCTTCCTGGAGTAAGTGCCCAGCACGCCTGCCGCTCTGGCCGCGCAGGAGAGCTGTGATTCACCCTTTCCACGCAGGGTGCGGGTCTGCGGTCAGGCTGGACAGGGTGTTTCATTTCCGTGTATCTCCCTGGTGCCGGGCATACTGGGTAGCAAACAGTGAATGGCTGAGAAGACAGACACGTGAGTCTGAATTGTGTAATTCGTATGAATATGTAATTGAAATCAGTATTTCAGCATACACCAGAACTTGTTTCGAGGTTGAAAATGAGTCCTAAGCAAAAAGCTCTCCTGCATGGGCTCTGGGTGCCCCTTGACCCCCAGCAATATCTGTACGTCTACACATTTAAATTTTCCTTATATAAGCAATCGCCATAGAATCCTCACTCTCCGTTCTCCAGTTTCCCAGCATTTGTTTTTTTAAAGTCTGTGATAGGAATGGGTGATATCTGGTCTACTTAAAATAACCATGCTTGGCTGCTGTGTTCCTGGGCTAAACTTCATGAGAAACAGAGGGAATTCCCTGGTGGTCCAGTGGTTAAGACTCTGTGCTTCCACTGCAGGGGGACGTGAGTTCGATCCCTGGTTGAGGAACTAAGATCCCATGCGGCTGTGTTTCCGCCTCACCCCTGCCTCCCACAAAAGGGAAATGGCTCTTTCCAGAATAACTTAACACTGTGTGGAATAACTTCAGCTCCGGGTGGCAGAAGCTCCCTTTCTTTTCTAGAAAACATTCCTTTTACTGAATGATCATTGTGCTCTTTAAAAAAAAAATGATGGCCAATAACAAAGTTCTTCTGAACAGTCTAATGGGCTTCAGTGATGTGGATGTGTATTCCCTGAAGCTCTGCATTGGAATCAGTTCAGAGGTTTAAAAAGGCTAAGCATGCATTTGCAAAGTTTAGAAGCATGCCTACTGGTCTCTGTGGTGCCTCACCCTGCCCCTGGCTGGGCCCCTCCCAGAGTGGCCCCCGCCTCAGGCTCCCCTCTGCCCACCTTGCATCTGGGGCGCTGCTTCCGCACCTCCCTCTGACCTCAGACGAGGGCTCCTCCCCCAGACGCCTTCCTTGACCCCTGTAGGGTACGTAGCCGTGTTGTCCCACCACTCTTTCTTCACGTCCCACCATCTGAAAACCCATCATTTATGACGGGGTGCATCTTTGTGGCCGGATCCTGTCTTCAGCTGTGAGCGGCAGTGGGGGCAGCTGCTGAGGCCCTGGCCCGGCACAGGGCATGGAGGGGCACCGCCTCCCTCTTTGTGAGCAGCTGTCAAATCAGCAAGCAGAGTGGCCTGATCAGACCACAGTTTGAGATCTTTTCTCCTGCTTATAAAAAAAAAATCGATTTTATTCAGGTATAAGTGTTACAGCTGCCATTTGCATGTCATGTTATCCCAAGAGAGTAAGCGGTTGCTGTGGTTCAGTTGCTAAGTCTTGTCTGACCCTTCATGATCCCAGGGACTGCAGCACGCCAGGCTTCCCTGTCCTTCACCATCTCCCGGAGCTTGCTCAAACTCGTGTCCATTGAGTTGGTGATGCTGTCCAACTATCTCGTCCTCTGTCGTCCCCTTCTCCTCCTGCCTTCAGTCTTTCGCAGCCTCAGGGGCTTTTTCAATGAGTTGGCTCTTTGCATCATGTGGCCAAAGTATTGGAGCTTCAACTTCAAAATCAGTCCTTCCAATGAATATTCAGATTTGATTTCCGTTAACAGAACTTCCACTTGGCTAAAGTTCCGTTTCTGTGTTTCAGGTTAATCAGAAGAAGGAATATAAATTTGACCTGGTGTTTACCACAGAATTCTACAACACAGAGGTAAGCTGCCATGGTTCAGGAAGTGTCCCATTAACAATTTTTATGGATTTTTTTTTTTTAAAGTGAGAATCTCAGTATTGGGTTGGCCAAGGAGTTCATCTGGAGTTTCCCATAATATATTACAGGAAAACCCAAACAAACTTCTTGATCAAACCTGTATATCGTGACCTGGAGGTTTACTTTTGTGTGTGTGTGTGTTTTCCCCTCCTGCTTTGCTTTCTATTTGCTCTCAAGAATTGAAGACTAGAGTTTGGCAGGACAACTTCATGACCTTAAACAGGGTTGCTTTTAAAAACAGTCCACGCGGCCATCTTTGTCGCTAGGAGGGTGTTTCACACTCTGGCAGCCGCTGCCCCTCCCTCCCGTCTCAGAATCCCTGGAGTGACTCACTCCTAAATGCCAGCCTGCCCTTTCCTGTCCGCTGGTGACATTTCTCGTTAGTGGGCTGGCGTAGCAGGAGGCCACCTCCAGGAGCTTCCTTCAACAGAGGGATTCTGTAGCCCAGAGCAGCCTGTCACACCGCAGGCACCTTCAGCCTCTCCAGTTGTGACGCAGCAGGCCGTGATTCTCCAGGTGTTCTTCCCACTGCTCTCAAGAAGAGTAAACGGGAGATTCAGACAGAAATCAGAGCCGGATGAACTTCGCAGTGCTGGGCCGGGCTGGAGGCATCAGCCAGAACCTGGGTGGAGGGACCAGCCCAAACCCCGCTATGTGGCACTGGGTCAGGGCCGCAGGGGTGGGCAGGCAGCATCAAGGTGTCTCAGGCAGAGCTTCAGAGAAGGCAGGACCCCTCCAGTGGATGCTTCTGGAAGAAAGCTTGACTGGACAACAGTACGCCAACGTGGCTTATTAACCTAAGAAGTAACGTTTTCTCAAAGCATAGGAAGGTGCTTTTGGTTTCTGCGTTGCCAGTGGAGGTGTTCTTTAAAGCGAAAGGGAAAATGACCACTAGATTATTTTGACCTACTGTGCTCCTCTGAAGGGCATGGTGAGCTAATTGACGGGGTGAGGAGAGTTCTTTCATCTTCAGGCAACTGCTTTGATTCTGTGAGGCCAACTGAGTTGGGGGGGGGTGGAACAAGAGGGGACAACTCCCATTTCCTTTCCCCTGCCTTGGAAATAGCTTTGACATCAAAAGAGCCACGTGCCAGCCCTGTCTTTTGCCCTTGATAAGCCTCTTCCGGAATGCTGCCTTCACCGTTTCCCTGTATGGCACTGATGATTAGGAAAGCCTATTGCAGTTTTTGTGGGGGTTTTGGCTTTAGTTCCAGGAGGAGGCTTCTTAGGTAGATCCAATCTTGATTACAATTTGTTTGTGGGCTTTTTTTTTTTTTTTTTTGGTTGTTTTAACTGGGACTCCACACAGTTCAAATGACTGTAAAAGGGAAAAGAATTTAGTTGGTCAAGCGACCAAGTTGTTACAGGAGTTAACTCGGGCCATGAACTTCCTCAAATCAAAGGCCCAGTGGATGGTTTGAGCGAACATGCATTTTTCTGGGAAGCAGTTCCTTGGCTTTTATTGTTAGATTAAAGCATCAGTGACCTGAAAGGGTAAAGAACCGTCCCAGAAATGAGTCGTGCACTTGATGTCTACTTAAAGCATCCAGCTACCCAGCTCCATGTGTCTCTGGGTTGGAAAGTTAAGTGAGGGAGATCCCAGAACACTCAGCATGTCTAGGTTTCAATATGAGTATAAGCCGACAGCCCTCGGTCACGTGGATACTTGGAGCAGCCCCACTGGGGTGGTTGGTGCCTCTGCTTCTTTCAGATTAGGTCTCAGGGCTCTCACAGAGCTAGGGCCCCAGCATCACAGACACAGCTCAGGTCCTGGCTGACCACTTATTAGCTGTGGCATGTGGAGGAGGTTCCTCTTTAAACGTCACTCTTAATCTGTAGAATTGGAGTAAGAGGACCAGATTCATCAGGCAGCATGATGGTATTGTCACTTGTGTTCATGGAGATCCGCGTCCTCTTGGTCAAAGTTTGCAAGCTTGAGTTCCAACTGAGCATTACACTGGTCCCAGAGAGGAAAGTACCTGTCCTAGAGTTTTGAGTTGAGCAGCACTCACAGCTGTCAATGAGTATTTCTTTGGGAAAAGGCCCAGCCTGCTTTCCTAAGGGCACCATCAGAAAGCAGGAATTTAAAAGACAGCAAAGGCTGAAGATTGTTGTGTTCAGTGTGAGCCCCCAAATCACACTCTGCAAAGCAGACCACTACATGTGCATGCCAGGGCGTGCCTGCCAGGTACGGGACGCTCCCCAGTCTTGTGTTTGTACGTTGGGCTGGGTGGGAAGTGATGAGGAACCATCTCTTGTAATTTCAAAATTTTTATTTCAGGAAGATGAGAAACGTCTGGGACAATGTTCTGCTCAAGTATTTTTCAGGAATGAGAAGCCCAGGCCGGCCGTTAATGTGACGTGTAGTCAGCTCATTAAGGAGAGGAGACAGGAAGAGGATTACCATCTCTACAAGCTCATGAAGCAGCTTAAAAGCCCCTTGAACGCAGTCAGCATTCCTGGTATGTACCCATCTCTGGAATTTCTGTATTCAGGAGCGTGTGTCATTATTAAGTCTCAAGAAGAATGATCATGTAAAAATTTATTTCCCAAATGGCACTTTAACGACAGAAGGTGGTTTGCCTCATTATTTAAACAAAATTCAGAAGTATCCTTTTCCGGTTCTCCTCCTCCAGTACAAGATAGTGACTCCGTCCCAGACGCGGGCGGGGCAAGAGCTCGACTCCAAAAGGGGTGGAGGTCTCTGCAACAGGACCCACAGGCAGAGGTGCAGTTTCCAGGGTTGAGTCCGGGAGCCGAGGAGATGTTTCTGGGGTTTCTGGTGGTGGCTTTGGGGACTTAAAGTGATGAGACCCCATCCAGGGCCGTGGCTATGCCCAGCATCATGTTCTGCACCAGGGCTGGGCGAGCCGACTGTCTTGGGGCCTTGCTGGGAGGCTGTAGTGGAGTCGAGCTGATCTCATTTTAGGTCCAGAGCTAATGGGCAGTGGTGCCGTCTCTTCTAAGAAATGAACCTTGCTTCTCAAGTGACTCAGCTGAAGTGAAGCAGAGCCCATTTGCTCTGGCACTAAGAGACCCAGCACTTACCGGCAAATCCAATTTCCAAAACCACAGAGTCATCCCTGCACCTGCACTTAGGCATTAGACTTGACATCTGGCCACGGTGCTCCCTGTCTCTCTCTCTCAGCGTGCTCACTTGCCAGGAGGCTGTGAGAGGCCCCGTTTCAGCGTGGAGGCCCTGCGGTCTCCATTCATTGCTGCATCTGTGTCTCTCCATTACGGGGCCGAGTGTTCTGACAGACCTGGAGGTAGGATCCTGCTCTTTGCACTTCTCAAATGCAGAGCTTGGATCGTTCTCATTATAGGTCTCTGACGACTTGGATTAAATCCTGTTCCAAAGAATCAGAATCTCATACTGTGGTAGAATTTGCTTATATTTAACTGCCTGAAATAAGGGGGCAATGACTAATACTTACAATCTAGTTACTTAGGGATTGATCCCCTCCTTAACTAAATGCAAGTGGGAAGAAAGGGGGGCTTCCCAAGTGGCGCTAGTGGTAAAGAACCCACCTGCCAATGCAGGAGACATAAGAGACGCAGGTTCGACCCCTGGGTCAGGAAGATCCCCTGGAGAAGGAAATGGCAACCCATTCCAGTCTTCTTGCCTGGAGAATCCCATGGACAGAGGAGCCTGGCAGGCTGCAGTCCCTAGGGTCGCAGAGAGTCGTACACGGCTTAGCGACTTAGCACACATCCCTCCTTAGCATTAGCTGGGGAAATGTGGTTTTATATATTCCTCTTAAAACACAAATTTTTAGAAATCATTTTGGACCTTCTCTTTTAAATATTTATTTACCACAGGATTTCTAGATTTTGGACACTTTTTAATAGTACAGATTAAAAGTCCTGTATGCCCACAAGGATCATTCTATAATAATATACCAACATGTTGCTACGAAGATTCAGATAATTTAATGGAGTGTATGTTTTTATCAATGAAATCTACAAGTTCTCTTGTCACTTTAAATTCAGCAGAGACATTTAATGGTGCTATTTATAGCCTGTATATATAAAATTATCTACTTACAACTGAAAAGGTTTGGTTTTGGATAAAGTGAATTAAAATCCATTTTGGAGTAGACAGCGCAACTCTCAGCAGATCCCATTATTTAATTAACCCAGGGTTTTTGACTGTTGAGCAGTTTTCTCTACAATTGGTGAGTGAGAAGATCGAATCCATTTTATGATATCCTTGCTCTGCACTGTTTTTCCCCTAAAAAGTAATTGTCTAGTTTTCATTATGAGTAAAAAATTTCACCTTTTCTAATAAGTTCATAAACTCCTATAGATGAGCCCAATGTGTTAGATATAAAGGACTGGGGAATAACCAGCTGAAGCCCAGAGTGACTGCACAATTCCACCTTTTCTAATAAGTTCATAAACTCCTATAGATGAGCCCAATGTGTTAGATATAAAGGACTGGGGAATAACCAGCTGAAGTCCAGAGTGACTGCACAATTTCACCTTTTCTAATAAGTTCATAAACTATAGATGAGCCCAATGTGTTAGATATAAAGGACTGGGGATAACCAGCTGAAGCCGAGTGACTGCATCAGTGCTACTGAATGCATGATGGACAAATGCAGTTGTCCTCACTATTCGCAGTATTTTGTATAACTGGTTTTTCTTCTGTGGTTAATTTGTTTTGATCTAAGATGTAACCTCATAGTGGCACTGTAAGATGAAGGAAGTCTGTCACTTCCTCACATGCGCGTGCGCACACACACACATGACAAGAATTCAAGGCTCAGCTCAAATCTCATCTCTGTGATATTTTCCCCAACTTCTTCAGCCAGAGAAACCTCCCTGTTCCCTGTGCCCTCCTCTCCTCTCTAGTCTTCCCTCTTAAGAAAGGTATGTCAGCTGCCTTTCCACACTGTCAAGAAGAGCAGGGTAGGGTCTCTCTTTGTATTGCCCACAGCACCCAAGCAATCAATGAATGCCTTCTGAACTGATACCGTTATAAATCAACCCAGTCAAGTTCTACCAACACAGAGCAGAATTTATGCAAAAGGATTATTTTACCAAGAAGGGTTCATTTCCTAAGTAAGCTGTTAGTATTCCTCACATATTAAACTATTGGGCTGTAATACAGACCAGGAATATCTCTTTCAAACTACATAAATGATGGTCCATGGATAGCTCATAAATAACTTGCTAAAATTAGAGTTCCAAAAAGTCACAAAAGATAATTAGTCATTGTTTCCCTACCCATCCCAGTATCTGACATTAAGTAATTTTTTTTTAAATAAATGCTGAATTAAAAAGATGACAGTTCCAAAGACAATACCACAGGAAAAACCCACTTGATTTTTTTCATTTGGTCAAAAAAAAAAAAGGTGACAGATGCTGCCACTGATTGGCTTTAACGCCTAGGATCAGAGAAGGACAAAGACATTTGCTAGATTGGTGAAGGCCAGCACATTCACTGTAGAACGAAAGTAGAAAGGGATGTGGAGAATATAACTGATAGATATTCCCATCTAATTAAAAGATTGAAGATTTTTAGGTTAATCATTACCACTCTTAGTTTGCATTTATGTAATACAGCAAATAGCCCTTAAACTGTTTTATAGTAGCTTTTTACCTACCAGGCAAGTTGAAGCATGTAAACCTCTATACAGTGTAGACACAGATACGAGTCCTGTTTGACTATGAAACTTCTAAGATTTTGTCCTATAAATGTCTTGACACGCATGTACTTTTTTGCCCCTTCAGACAGTCATGGATATATTGCTCCGTCTCTGAGGCCCATCTGGGACCTAGCTTTTCTGGGCAGCTCCTACGTGATGTGGCAAAAGACAACACCGTTTCTCCAGTACTACATGTCCCAGATTAGCAGTGTCAAGCAGTGGGTAAGAAAGACAAAACACTGGTTACCCGAGGGATGCAACCAGTGCAATGTTCCTAGACAAAATTAATATGAGTTTCTAGATTTGTGGCAAGAGTTTTAACTGCATTTCATTACTCGATAAATATGTGAATGTCAGATACTCGTTTGAGGACTGAGGATAATAGCAGTGAACAAAAGACTCACATGTAGCTGTCTGTATTGGGACTCATTCTAGCGAGAGAGGACGGTGAACCAATAAACAAGAAAATGTGCATCAGATGGTGATAAGGGCTCTGGAGAAAAATAAAGTAGGGAGAAGGGAATGTGGGGTGTTGGGAGAACTATACTTTAGTCTAAAGTCAGGCCCCTCTAATTTGAGCAGAGGTCCAGAAGTGAGAGCCAGCCATGCCTCCAGAAGAGGGGGGGTTTCAGGCAGAGGGACCCGAGGCCGCAGTGTGGTTGATGGGCTGGATGAGTCCACACAAGCCCGGGAGGCCACCAGAAGGACCTTGTCATTTACTTAGCACAGGATTTTTTTTAGCAGAAGAGTGACAATCTGACTTCCAGATTAGATCGTTTTGGCTGCTGTGTTGAGAACAGGCTAGACAGACAAGGGTGGAAGCAGGCAGAACAAGACAGTATTGCAGTGACCTCGGCAAAGTCTGCTGGTGACTTGGACCAGGGTGTCAGCTGTGGAGGTGGTGAGAAGCATTTGGATTCTGAAGACAGACTAACAGTATTTGTTGATGGGCTGAATGTGGAATGTCTGACAATGAGAAAAGTTGTGGATGAGTCTTAGGATTTGGCATGAATAACCGGAAAGCTACTTTTCATTTACAGAACAGATTTGGGTAGAAATTAGCTTGATTTGGGGCATTCTAAATTCCAAGTGGAGCATTTGGATAGTCCTCTGAACGTAAGAGTCTGAAGTTCAGGGGCAAGGTCTGGGTTGGTGTCAACAATATGTTGTTGCTTAGTCGCTCAGTTGTGTCTGATTCTGCAACCCTACAGACTGCAGCATGCCAGGTTTCCCTGTCTTTCATCGTCTCCTGGAGCTTGCTCCAACTCATGTCCATTGAGTCAGTGATGCCATCCTATTATCTTGTCCTCTGTCGTCCCCTTCTCCTCCTGCCTTCAGTCTTTCGCAGCATCAGGGTCTTTTCTACTGAGTCATCTCTTTGCATCAGTCCTTCCAATGAATATTCAGGACTGATCTCCTTTAGGACTGACTGGTTTGATTTCCTTGCAGTCCAAAGGATTCTTAAGACTCTTCTCCAACACCACAGTTCAAAAGCATCAATTCTTTGGTGCTCAGCTCTCTTTATAGTCCAACTCTCACATCCATACATGGCTCCTGGAAAAGCCATAGCTTTGACTAGATGGAACAATGTTAGCATCTCTCTGCCTTTTAACATGCTGTCTAGGTTGGTCATAGCTTTTCTTCCAAGGAGCCAGTGTCTTTTAGTTTCATGGCTGCAGTCACCATCTGCAGTGATTTTTCGAGCCCTAGAAAATAAGTCTGTCATTGGTTCCATTGTTTCTCCATCTATTTGCCATGAAGTGATGGGACCAAACACCATGATTTTCATTTTTTGGATGTTGAGTTTTAAGTCAATTTTTCCACTCTTCCCTTTCACTTTCATCAAGAGGCTCTTTAGTTCCTCTTCACTTTGTGCCATAAGAGTGGTGTCATTTGTGTATCTGAGGTTATTGATATTTCTCCTAGCAATCTTGATTCCAGCTTGTGCTTCCTCCAGCCCAGCACTTCTCATGATGTACTCTGCATGTAAGTTACATAAGCAGGGTGACAAGATACAGCCTTGACGTACTCCTTTCCCAATTTGGAACCAGTCCATTGTTCCATGTCTGGTTCTAACTGTTGCTTCTTGGCCTGCATACAGATTTCTGAGGAGGCAGGTGAGGTGGTCTGGTATTTCCATCTTGTTAAGAGTTTTCCAGTTTGTTGTTGTGATCCACATAAAGGCTTCAGTGTAGTCATTGAAGCAGTAGTAGATGTTTTTTTGAAATCCTCTTGCTTTTTCTATGATGCAGTGAATGTTGGCGATTTGATTTTTTGTTCTTCTGCCTTTTCTAAATCCAGCTTGAACATCTGGAAGTTCTCGGTTCATGTACTATTGAAGCCTGGCTTGGAGAATTTTGAGTATTACTTTGCTAGCCTGTGAAGTGAGTGCAATTGTGTAGTAGTTTGAACATTCTTTTGCATTGTCCTTCTTTGGGATTGGAATGAAAACTGACCTTTTCCAGTCCTGTGGCCACTGCTGAGTTTTCCAAATTTGCTGGCATATCGAGTGCAGCCCTTTCATAGCATCATCTTTCAGGATTTGAAATAGCTCAACTGGAATTCCATCACCTCCACTAGCTTTGTTCGTAGTGATACTTGTTAAGGCCCACTTGACTTCACATTCCAGGATGTCTGGCTCTAGGTGAATGATCACACCATCATTATTATCTGGGTCATGAAGATTTTTTTGTATAGTTCAGTGTATTCTTGCCACCTCTTCTTAATATCTGTTTCTGTTAGGTTCATACCATTTCATTCCTTTATTGTGCCCATCTTTGCATGAAATGTTCCCTTGGTATCTCTCGTTTTCTTGAAGAGATCTCTAGTTTCCTATTCTATTGTTTTCCTGTATTTCTTTGCATTGATCACTTAGGAAGCCTTTCTTATCTCTCCTTGCTATTTGGAACTCTGCATTCAGATGGATGTATCTTCCCTTTTCTTCTTTGTCTTTTGCTTCTCTTCTCAGCTATTTGTAAGGCTTCCTCAGACAACCCTTTTGCCTTTTTGCATTTTTTTCTTGGGGATGGTTTTGATCACTGCCTCCTGTAGTGTTATGAACCTCCGTCCATAGTTCATCAGGCACTCTGTCTAGCAGACCTAATCCCTTGAATCTGTTTGTCACTTGCACTGTATAATCATAAGGATTTGATGTAGGTCATATCTGAATAGCCTAGTAGTTTTCCCTACTTTCTTCAATTGAAGTCTGAATTTTGCAATAAGAAGTTCATGATCTGAGCCACAGTCAGCTCCTGGTCTTGTTTCTGCTGACTGTATAGAGCTTCTTCATCTTTGCTGCAAAGAATATAATCAGTCTGATTTCGGTGTTGACCATCTGGTGATGTCCATGTGTAGAGTCCTCTCGTGTTGTTGGAAGAGGGCGTTTGCTATGACTTGTGCATTCTCTTGGCAATACTGTTAACTTTTGCCCTGCTTCATTTTATACTCCAAGGCCAAACACAACATAGATGTCTTTTAAAGCCACAAGAGTGGATAAGATCAGAAAATGAATGTAGACAGAGAAAAGTCATGAAAGGATTGAGTCCTGGAACACTTCTAAGTTTAAAAGTTGGAGATAGTAGAAAAGAAAGTCTTTCAAGGATGAGGGCTGATTGTTTCAAATGTTACTGGGAAGTCAAGGAAGATGAGGACCAAGAATTGGCCATTTGATATAGGCAGTTGGCAAGCTCATCAAGAGTTGTCTCACTGGCACAGTGTGGGTGAAATGCTGACTGGAGCAGGGCAAGCAAAGAATGGGAGTGGAATGGACACTCCCTGTCTCAAGGAATTTAGCTATAAAGGGGAATTTTAAAAAAAGAGAGACTGGCACTGTAGGGTGGGTCACACGGGTTTTCTGTTGTTTTCAGGCTGGGAGTTTTAGCAACATATTTGTATGTTGATGAGAAAAATCCAGTAGAGAGCGGTGAAGTAGGACTTGTAGGGAAGAGAAGGAAGACTTGATGGAGTTAGTGTCTTTGCAGAGATACAGATCACTGTGGATTGCTATCAGTGAGTATCTTCTGAGGACAAGGATTTGCCCAGCATCCAGTCAGCATTATTGCCAGTAAGAGCTTGGTGTGCCTATCAAAGGTCACTTGTAAAGCGGACAACTGTTTGAAATGTGTTTTACTTATTGAAATGAACACATTTCTTTCCCCTATAGAGCACTTTTTAATAGAGATGACCATTTACTTGAGAGTTGTTACATTAGGGGTCTGGATACAGCACTAAATCTTTTGTCAGGTCAGTTTCTCTCATCTACCAAGTCAGTCATATCCTCAACACAAGACTTTAACTGAGAAGTCAGGGGAAATTTTTTGTTTAGTGTAGAAAATGGTGTCAAAGTAATAGAAATAATTTTAATGAGTGTCAGAGGAAAACTCAACAGGAATAAAATAACAGAGACAAAACAGAAAAAAATAGTATCTTTTAATGGCAGTGTTTTCCATTTTTTGCATTTGCACATCTCACATCACCAAAGTCATCACCAGTTTTTGCTGTGGTTCAAAAACAGCAGCTCCATTCTAGCCAGTCTCGATGTCTATCATCTGTCCATCAATATCCCTCAACTAGCCTGCAAAGTGGGAAAGTGGAGACAAATGTAACTGTAGGGTTAGGAAAATCAAATGCAGGGGGAGAATGGTCACTGAGTAGTTTTAGATTTTTACTCTGTGGTATTTGGGTTTTAGATAAATAATAATTGAATGTGCAACTGCTTGCTGGGTCACCTAAGGCAAATCACTTCTCTTAGGACTATGAAATGAAGATTAATAAGCTTACTGAAGCTAACATAAATCTAAATACTGAAGCAACTGGGAAATTTGGTTTAAGGTTGATAGCATTTCAGAGTTGTTGTTGCTTCGCTGAGTTATATCTGACTCTTTTGTGACTCTCTGGACTGTAGCCTGCCAGGTGCCTCTGTCCATGGAATTCTCCAGGGAAGAATACTGGAGTGGGTTGCCATTAATTTCTCTAGGGGAATCTTCCTAACCCAGGGATTGAACCCTTGTCTCTTGCTTGGCAGGTGGATTGTTTACCATGAGCCACCTGGGAAGCCCACATTTCAGATCAGAGTTATCTTTTTACAGGTAGTCTCCCATCCAAGTGCTAACTGGGCCTGACCCTTGTTAGCTTGGCTTCCAAGATTAGCGTTCTCTTGAAGAAAAGTATGCACAAACCCTCATAGATTTTCAAATTCTGCTATTTGGTAGCCAGTAAAGACT